ATGAGCTCAGTCACACGGGAGGAGCTCGGAGTAGAGTCGCTGCTCCTCCAAGTCGAGAGCCAGTTGAGGTGGTTCAGGCATCTTTTCCAGATGCCTCCTGAGCGCCTCCCTCGGGAGGTGTTCTGGGCATGTCCCACCGGGAGGAGGCTCCAGGGAAGACCCAGGACACGCTGAAGGGACTATGTCTTTGGGCTGGCCTGGGGACACCTTGGGGTCCCTCTGGAAGAGCTGGAGGACGTGTCCGTGGTGAAGGAAGTCTGGGAGTCCCTGGTTAGTATGCTGACCCTGTGACCCAGCCCCGGATAAGTAAAAGAAAATGGATGGACAGTGTCAAATTCGGCATAATTATATAAATGTGTATGTACATGTAACCCACGCAAGTAAAAGTGCCCATCTCCTTTGACCACACCCACCAATAAGCCCGACACGCCATATTACCCAGAGTACCTCTCACCACTTCCTGCTCTGATGCTCCTGCTACCGCTCACTGTGGCTGTGTGCTGGTCGTGCTCTGGAGTCGGCGTGCTCCGTGATTGCCGAGATATCAACCTCTACTACTGCTATTTCTACTTCTACTTCAACGTATTCAACCCTCCGCTCAGCGGTCAGGTTTTTTTTTCCTCCTTCCCTTTGGTACAACCACACAACTTCAACTCCTCAGCCTGAGTCTGTGATGGCGAGCTGTGACTACCCCACCTTGTGGTAGGAGATCGAACTAGACATACACTTTTTCTGGATCTTATCTTCAAGAAAAACTTTTAAAAACTTTGAACCTTAGTCAATGCGACTACTGGACTAAAACCCCCAAAGACAATATATGATCTCACAGGACTCTTACAAAACTGAAGTTGTTTGTTTGGTTGATTTTGTTTTTGTTTTGTTTGTAATGTTATATCTGTTTATTAATAATACTTATATATATCTAAGGTATAAATAAGTCTATATTATATTCATATATTCATATAATTAATTATTGCCAACTTAAAAAAATATAATACAATACATATGCCATAAAAATATTAATATTAATACTGCTCTTATCATATTATACATTTCTCTCTTCTTTCATCATCACAATCTGACTACTGGCTCTTCTCATGAATCTTCTTCTGCATTCACATACCCTATGGCTCTTCAAAGAATCTTCTTCTGAAACAACTTAATACTGCAGTCAGGCCGCCTAGCCAACTACGCGTTACATACAAGTTAAAATAACCAATAGAAATAAGACTAATATAAGTCTGTTATATACAAGAGGTCATAAGGAGAAACAGTGTAAATTATATAATGACTGACAGGGCACAGGGTTACCAGGTGCCATTGCTGATTATTTTATTAAATTTGACCATCTTATATATGACAATCCACTAAAATACACCAGTCTGCTGCCCAGTGCCAGTAAATGAACAGGACAGTCAAACCCACCCATAACACTGTGCCTGGTGCTACAGCTGCAGTTTTTGTAATTTCAAAAAGTCTTGGTCAGTTTGTGAATAAAAAATGCAAAAATGCTTCAAAGTGCAGCTAAGTAATTTTAAATAAAAATCACCCATTCCTTCTAGTACATTTCACACATACACATACTATATAGCCTACATATATTTATAATTTTGGTCTAATATATATATATATATATATATATATATATATATATATATATATATATATATATATATATATATATATATATATACTACCAGCCGCCGTCATAACAAGTAGGCCTACTTTAGAGACATTTTGATTTCAGTAAAAATAATGCAGGGTGTATTATCTTTCATTAACCAGTTTTGATCCAGTTTTGATCCAGTTATAGTTTTGATCCAGTTTTGATCCAGTTTATACATCGCACCGAGCCCCGTTTGTTCCAGACAGAAGCGGTGGAGAGCCTCAGAAAGGGAAATGTGTCCCAATCCAGCCCCTTTCAGTTGGACGAATGGCCCCGAGAGGCCCTGAGATGTTCCTGATGCGTTGGCAGATTTTTTGTGCTCAGTTTTTCATTCTTTCTTTCTTAAAAACAAGGATTTACTTGACATTGGTAAAACGGTGAGTGGACAGTGGTCTGACCTTGGCCCGGAGCCTCTCAGCTGCTACAGTCACTCACTTTTAAGGACTAAAGTGGACACAGACAGTTCATTCTGTGAATCTCTCTGAAACTGAAACTCACCTCTGTTAGACATGACTCAACACTGCCACCTTCTGGAAACATTCTGATTAATTCTAAAATTCACCAATATTTTTTTTTTCTTCTTTCTATTTAAAACTTGCTCTTTGCGTTTTTGTTTGTTGTTGTTTTCACAAAATCAACAGCAAATATTAGGCATACATGATTAACCTTATGATTGGGCAAAGTAAATTGTACAAACCATTCTGAATTCCCCCCACCAAAAGCCGTGGATCTCAGCCTCACCTTTAAAAAACACATACAAAATGAAAATAAATAAATAAATAAATAAATAAAAATAAAACTTAAACCTGACATGACACCAGAAACATTTCAAACCATCTCAATGCAATGATGATGTTCAGTGTTTTGTTACTGTAAAACAGGCTGGTCCCAGCAAAACTACAGTGAGGCTATTGCAATCACTTTGTAAACAAGCCTTAAAGGTGCAATGTGTAACTTTCTGGACAAAGCCTCAGGTCGAATGGTACAATCCTAAATAACCTGTGCCTCTTATCCACATCTGTAGTGACACGTGCCTCCACCAGAGGGCAGTGTATCATACCAAATCACACTTCATTTGCACTTCTCCCATAATGCAATAAAGGAACAAACTCCTGGTTGAACTAAACAGTGGAATTTACAGAGTAGTTGTGGAATAACCAAACCTGCAGCAAAACCTGTGGACTTATGTAATAGTGAAATGTTCAGTGGCAGGTTAAAATTAATTTCACAAGAAGAAGTTAACTATTTCTGTAAATCAGGGACTGCAGATGGAAACAGATGTTTAGCTCTAATCTGTGTTTTTATGATGTATCTGTACACTGTACCTTCAAATAAAGACTAAACTAATCTTGGGCACCACTGATCTAAAGAGATTGATAAAAAGAGATGGATAAGAGAGTGCATTGTGTTGGGATGAGGTATTTTTGGAGTGTATTGCCCTCGTATTAGCTCCGAGGTGTTAAGTCCCCTAAACTTGGAAGCCATGAATCACCTCTGACCATTTCTCCTGCAGGAGCTACAGAACTGTGGCAACTGGTGAGCCCACATCGACCATATCACTGCTCTTTAAGTGAGATGCTCTGTCAAAAACTCCTGGGACAAAAAAACAACTGAGCTACAGTCGAATGTCTTTCTGGACGGGGTGGAACTCAGCCTCGTCAAAGAGTTTAAATACCTGACATTTAAGAAACACGTTAAATGCCTCACAAAAACTTCATTTTAACATACTGAATTTTAGACAAGTAAGGTCCTTTATGACTCTATATGCGGCACGAATGTTTTTACACTCCATGATTCTGTCTCATATAGAGGATCACATAACCACATGGACACTTGCTGCTGGCACAAAACTCAAATCGGTAAAAATCCGTAAAAATACTGGACAAGAAACCATTCTCATTTCACCACTGCACTAATTTAGATGAGTACAACCTGCTTAATTTTAATAATTTAGTTGATTTTAAATATGGATGTTTTATCTATAAAGTTTTGCATGGACTTGCCCTCCCTTCGTTACAGGATTTTATTAAAGTAAAAAACGTGACTGGGATGGGAACTGTGAGGTCCCACTCAGACGCACCACATTCGGACAAAGTGCTTGCTGTTATTATATATACAGATTATTGTCGCTGATTTGTCAATTGTATGTTTTATTTCACTGTTCAGCACTTTGGTAAGCTTTGGCTGTTTTAAATGTGCTATACAAATACATTTGATTTGATGAGATTTTGATTTTGATTTTAAAGTGAGTCTCAGTCAGAGGTACTAAATTTTGGAACAGTCTCCCATTATCAATAAGAGAAACTCCAACACTTGCCACTTTCAAATCCCACTTGAAACAGACTAAAGCAAAACCAGACTTGTGTACACTTTTAGGCTACTTTTTTTGTGAAATCCGATGTTTTTGCGAGTTCGTTCACATTTCCAATTAAATGTGACTTGTATGTGACTCCAGTGTGAACGTTAAACGGCCCAAAAATGTCCCACATGTGCACTGGAGACACGACGACGTCAACCGCAGCGAGCGTGCTCTGTGTTAACAGAAGTTGTCCAAACATGGACGCAGCATTGAGCACCTGGCGATTTTAAAGTTCCTCTCGTACCGGAGCCAGAACGTGAACAACTTACTTGTTTTAAGGAGAAGATTGAGAAGGAGCAGCGGCAGCGACGTCTGTTGAAAGGAACGTGTGGATGTGGAGACGTAGCCAAGAGTGATGAGTGGTGATGTGCTTCACTTTAGTGACACAGAGTTCATTAACAATTTTCGCCTACTTCAGCGCAGAATAGTGGCATTTGTGGCTTGTTGATAATGTATAGGTGGGATGAATGCGTTTTGGCCGTTCAGACTGAAGTCGCATGTCAAAAGATCAAATATGTATCGGTTTTAGGATCACATATCCAAGTGGCCTGGGTCACACTTGAAAAAATCGTATCTGTGTTGTTCAGACTGTCATTAAAAGATCAGATACAGGTCACATAGGTGCCAAAAATCGGATTTGGGTCACTTCAGGCTGCAGTCTTAGTTTAGAACTGCCACTTGTTTTTGTTGTTTTTGCTTTGTTAAATTTGTGGTGTTACCTGCCGAGGGACTAAAGATGGAAATTATAATCTGCCATATTTACACTGCAGTGTTTATTAATATGCACTGTCCCTATTAAATAAATAAATAAATTAATTAAAACTTTTCCCAGTCCGCCCGTCGTAACCTAATGTGTCTTTAAAAATCCCCCCTGAAACCACATACAGTATAGTTGTAAAAATATCAATAGTATATCGAATGAAATGTTTTGCAAATGTGTTTTTTTTTTTTGTGTTAAACATTTAGAGGCAGAAGAAACAATATAGTTTTTATTTGTTATTCAGTTCAGAGTTTGGACTTTTCCTCAATCAGGTCCAGTGCTGTTTGTTACACCACATTATGAACACAGTCATTGCACTGGCCCTGTCCCAGCCAGAGGGACACAGACACATGACACTACAACTAAAAACTAAAAACTAAACAGGTTTGATTTTAATCCGTTTGCTCAGATTCTGGAGGCACTGAGAGCAGGCGCTGCAATGCAACCATAAAGTCCCTCACATGAAGGCAACACATCCACATCCAGGAGACGAACAGGATAGAAAAGTAAATCTAACATTGCATAGACGAGTGATCCTTTTTTTTTTTTTTTTTACATCAAACTTTTTACAAAATGTACCTGACAATACATTCTTTAATCCATGAGTAAAAACTAAATCGGATCATTCATTTTCTGGTACACATACACATTCACGTACACAAAAACACGCTAAATGAATCCAAATTAAAGCTGCATCATGTAACTTTTTGTACACCTCCTGCATCTGTCCAAGGTGATGCTGTTGCTGTGCTGAGAATGTTCAACAGTTTGACTTATCCACCTTGCATTTATTCATTTACAGGTGCTTTTATTGCACAAAAACATGTCGGAAAAACATGCATTCTCATTGTGAGCGAGGTCTAAGGAAGAGAATTTGTTCCATTAGATTTTTAATTTTAAATACAGTCGAATTTCTCACTTTAAATTTTTTAACTCTGAAAAAATATGTTTGAATTCCTCTCACTCCTTTTTCGGACACAAGTAAAATCTGCGTGACATTTATTTTTGGTTTATTATTATAGAAAATAAATATTTACTTTTTGTATTATATCTATGTATTTACATTTACTATGCATTTTCTATATAATACTGTCTGAATAAACATTAATTAAATCATTCATTCAATTATTTTTATTCTGAATTTTAGTTGCTGAAATTTTAAGTGTACTTTTTCAATGTTTTAAATAAAAAAAAAAAAAAAAAAAAAACAATTAAATATTCAGCACAAATATTTTCAAGCCCTCAAATTCAAGAGTCAAAATTTAGTGTAAAATCTGCAGTGAAAAAAAAAAAAAAAACTCACAGCAAAGATCCAAAATGTCAAGGCAGAAGCATCGATCCTGTGTGAGTGAGGAGGACAGACGCTGTTTCCTATTGGCCGTTCTCATCTGTGGGCGGAGTTTACACTTAAGAAATAACCCTGTGTTCGATTATTTTCTGGCTCCCACTTGGACCTCGGATTTGTCGTCACGTCCGAGCTTGAAGCGTATTATTAAGTTTCGCGTGTCGGACTACGTGGATTATGATTGTGACTGTTCCCTTATCTCATATAAACACTGCCACTTTAATTTTATTTTTGGAATTTGCACTTTATTTTATGTTATTATTTCTCTTCCGTTACAACCATAGGGACGTTATCGCCTGTTAAATCAAGTATTTGTTCAATATTGGCCTCACCACGACACCAAATACCGATTCGGACGCGGTAAGGTACTGCAGTAGTACGAGAAACCACCAAAGTGTCTAAACACTATGAAAAGAGTTCATATTTACACGTCACAGTGAGAACAGCCATCTCGGAATCCTTGCTCAGTCTACTTTTTCCGTCACCGAGGTCCGAGTTGCGCCGTCCTAGGAAAAGGGGCATCATGCATCTTCTTAGGCAACTTCCTTGGAAAACAGATTCAGAAGGATAATCGAACGCAGGGTTAAAGATGAGGTTTTGATGATTTGTTAATTCTGACCAGATTGGTTCACTGCACCATTTCCTGCATGTTACAAAATTAATTTGGATCACTGAGGATCGATTGTTTACGTCTTGGCCTCTTGGACCTTTGCTGCCAATTTTTTTCACTGTGAATTTTACACTCTGAATTTTGGCTGTTAAATTTGAGGGCTTGAAAATAATTATGCTGAATATTTAAAAGGTGATTTTTTTTATACGTATATTGAATTTTAAACACTTTGAAAATGTACACTTAAAATTTCAGCGACTGCCATTCAGAATAAAACATGTTTTTTCAAAGTTAAAAAATTCAAAGTGAGAAATTCAACAAGATTTTAACATTCAAATTCTTAACAAAACAGATTCTCTTCCATAGGTCCATAGGTCTTCTCTCCACAGATCTGACCTGTAATTACACCTGGTAGCAGTTCGATGCCAGAAAACCAGAACATCTCCAAGCAGGTGGTGGACTCTTCAAGTTACATAGTGCATCTTTAAATAATACTTACTCAAATCAAGTATTATTTAAAGGTTTCATATACATTGAAATAAGTATAAAACATAAGACAATATTGCAAACATAGTAAGTGCCAATGACTTATAGTTATACAGAGCATTGGTGTGAATACTCAATAAAAAGAAAATGTACAAATGGGATTCATAGTCAGTTTTGAACGTTTGACAAAATGCAGAGTTTAAAGCTACCATCACAGGTTTATTTCTTGTTGTTTTTTTGTTACCAGTAGATGGCAGACGTGAAGCACCCTCCTCTCACCTGATCTTTGCTCAAACTCACGCCATGGAAGTATAATAAGATCTGAAACGTGAACCAAAGATGGCATTGTGTTGTTTTCAGTGGCCTGTGCTCCCCCGAAACATTTTTTTCTTTCACGTTACTTCCTTAAAACGGGTCAGAGCGACAGCTGGGAGAGTAGAGTTTGTAAATCACTGTAAACCCAAACGTTCAAAGTAATTAAATAGATTAAGTTGTGTTTAGTCAAAGTTTTAGAAATAGTCCTGCTACTTAATTATGTCAAGTTGATGTAACATGTTCTTCTTTTTGAGTCGTTTTAACTAATATTTTTTGATTAAAGGTAGAAGTGAGTGTAACTTAAAAACACAGATGAGGTACAACTAAGACCAAGTCCAGTTATTTCTATTGTTTTAAATACGGATGATTTCAAAATAAACTTAATTTATATTCTAAAATACAACACAATTTCAAAGCGCTTCACCAAACAAGTGAACTTATTCCAGTCGTTTATGTCATAATACATGAAAATAATTAAGTTGCCTTAACAGAAAACTACTAAAATATTAACTGCAAATATTTGAGCACTTTTAATTTAGCTGTTATCAAAAATTCAAACTTTTAAATCACGGGTGTCAAACATAAGGCCCGGGGGCCAGATCCGGCCCTCCAAGACCTTTAATCTGGCCCTCGGCCTATTTTCTACTAAAATATTTGAATTATATTTTCTATTAAAATATTGTTAATTTTCTGCGTCGCTTAGCATAGCAGTATCTCCATGTGTGGCCCCTCCCACCAGAGCAGCACAAATGAAGACTTGTCTCTTTCCAAACGCTCTTAAAAGACGATCGTTTTGACTGTTGACCGTGACACCCTCATCAATAAATGTCAAAAATGAGAAAAGTAGAGCCGAGTGCAGGATTTCCCAAGAAAAATATACTTATTCCTATTTGCAAACAAGTTAATGTTAAAACATTGTGTTGAAATTGTATTTTTCTTAAAGTTTCAGGTTGTTCATAATATTATAATATTTTGTAAAAGAAAGAGTTCATCAATTAAAAAAGATTTCTGTAATAGATTTGTGTTTCTCTGCACAAATATTTGAACTTATTGTTATTTTTGGGGTTTATATGACATGAGTTTTCTGATCAGGCCCCTTTGGGATCAAAGTCTGTTTGATACGGCCCCCGGACCAAAATGAGTTTGACACCCCTGGCTTAAATTCTGGAAGATTGTGAGTTTTAAGTTCATTGACTTGAAATAATTGAGGTAATCGATTGCTTAATTTTTTTGAGTTGTGGTAACTTATTTGGGTTTACAGTGTAGCTTACAAAACTAAATCTTAAGTCCTTGAAGTTTAAAAAAATAAATAAGTAAAAGTTAATGTGAAAATAGAGAAGAATCCCTACAAAAATTAACCTTTGTGAAAGCTGTGGATGCCCTTTTACACAGACACGGGCAGTTTCAATTCCCCAAAAATGCGTTGTGTTCTATGGGAAAATTCTTATTTGGCCTCGTCGTTCTTGCACGGACAGAGGGAGCGTGTCTTGTCTTATCCAGGGCTGTTTATAGATCCATGGCCTAAACTCACCTGTGCTCTCTGCTCTTCCTCTGTCAGACCAAAGCTGAGACACTATCAGACCGCAGTAACACCGACATCATGTAGCGGTGATACGTGAGAATGCAGCCGGGGCGGGTCTGCCAGTTTAATTACGGATGGTAGCTTTAAGTAAAATCAAAATATGTTATTGTTATAAAAGAAAGTCCATTTTCTGAACTCTGACAACAGTTTGCGTGCAAGTGAGTTACCCTGAGAAAAAACAGTCTGTGCTCACCAAAGGATCGTTTTGTCATTGCACAATTTTACCTTTGATTTGAAGAAATAAAATTAAAATAAAAACAAAAGAATTGAAGAAAAGTAAGTTGTGATTTACCACGTGGCTCAGTGGTGGAGACGCAGCACATAAAGTTTCCACAGTACATTTACATTCTACATTACATAGACCTATGTTTTCTGTTGATACTTCGCAGCGGATATCATCAACATTTCTTAGGGGTGTGACGCTAACTGTAGGCTCTGCTCTGTCTAAACCTCAGCTAGACTTTAATCTGAGTTTTATTTTGCCATAAAGAACTGCCTAAAGAACTACAACAGGCGAGCTGATTTGTGTCACTCTCCCCTTTTTGTTGAAAATCAAACTCCTAAACATCTATTTTTTCTTGAGTTTTAAGACATTCTTTTTTTTGACAATGTTTCCTATTGTGTGCATTGTGTCGCCATGGCAACTGCTTAGCATATCACCACAGACAAACAAGTATAACACCCCCAGCGTGGCGTCACTGCAAAGTACAAGTAAAAAGTGACATAAAGAAAGTTGTTTCAGTACCTTTGATGCCTTGAGTTTGTGATGGCAAATTGTTAAACCGCCTAAACATGAACTTATCTATAAAATATTCCACATTCAAAGCTGCATTCACACTTTAGTCCTGATTGGCCTGGTTTGGTCCAGTTCTAGACCTGGTTTAATCCTGGTTTACCTCAGGGTTAAAACACAACTTCAACATTAGGACTTATCAAGAATGCTGTGAATGCTGCAAAAATGATCATTCAAAATAAAAATACAACAAACTTATGCTGTAATCGTTCAAATAAGATGATTATTTTCCATTTGCTGGAAAGTCTAATAAACCTAAACTAAAATATTTCCTGATTATCCTTTATCATTTTAACCTTCATTTCCCTCTCTCGTCCGTTTTGTGTGAATCAGACGCTGTGTTTTTTGAGCAGTGGGTGGCTCTGTCCCACCCGGAGCCCTCGTCCCGTTGCCGTGCCGACGCTCCTGGTGGTTTTGGGGATGCTCACAGTCTCCATCTGGACCTCCTCGTCCTGGTCCGCGTCCGGGCCGGTCCAGTCCAGGTCCAGAGGGTACGGAGAGCCCGCCCACATGGAGGTCTCTGACGGGTACTCGCACAGCTGCTCCAAGCGCTCCTCCGAAAAACACACCTTCACCTGTGGAGAAAACAAAGGAACAAGGAAGTTAAAGGAACTGTTCGCCTGATGACAACAAGGAATAAATTAAAGGTGCACTCTGTAACTTTTCTGGTCTTTATGATGATGTAATTGCTTTACTTGGAATGTGTCACAGTATGGTATTAAACTTAAATAATTCCAAATATTGTCCAAATAAATACAAATTGTGTCCAAATAATTTCTCTTGTGGATCAATAAAGTTTGTCTAAGTCTAAGTCTAAGGTTACGTTCAGACTGCAGGGCTTAATGCTCAACTCAGATTTATTTGTGAAATCCGATATTTTTGCAAGGTCGTTCACATTTCCAATTAAATATGATGTTGTATGTGATCTCCAGTGTGAACTTTAAATGTGTTTCCAAAAAGTGTCCCGCACGTGCATTGGAGGACACAACGACGTCACATGCAGCGACCGTGTTCAGTGTTTACAGAAGTCGCCTAAATGCTGGCCTTGTCTCGCAAAATACGGTCCAGTTCTTCATAAAATGGACAGGTTACACATCCACGGCCGCTTCGTTTTTTTTGACTCTTTAGCCTCTTTGTATTTGGCTCACAGGGTCTTTATTTTTTGTTGACATTGGAGCAGGACCGCCTGTTGCCGCGCTCAGACATTTCTTTGGCAATCCTTTCAAAAACCACCCGGTTACTTCCAAGACTCCTTCAATTTGGCCTGAATACAGCGATCCCCCCAAATATTAATAAACTCTCTAACCTCACTTTCCCTTCATTGACGAGACTCCGAGCCTGACCTGTAGGAGGGATGAATGTGACCTAACCGTTCAGACTGAAGTCGCATGTCAAAAGATCAGATATGTATCGTTTTTTATGAGCACATATCCAAGTGGCCTGGGTCGCATTTGAAAAAAATTGATCTGTGTCACTAAAAAATCAGATTCAAGTCACACAGGAGCGAAAAAATCGGATTTAGGTCACTTCAGGCTGCAGTCTGAACATAGTCTAAGTCAGGGGTGGGCAAACATTTTGGTTCAGGGGCCATATAGGGCTCTAAAAATTGACTGAAGGGCCGGAGAGGAGGCAGAACGTGTTAAGAGCCCGGCTCCATTGCACTCGTATTTACGCTCATGTAGAACGTATTTGACACTACGCGCTGCAACTTCTGGAGACGCAGAAGTTGAAGAACGCATTAGGAGTGAACGAGGTCTGCTCCACCGCACACCACATGAGCGCATTAGCTCTGCGCAGTTAGATCATACTACTAAATAAAGCAGAGCCTACTCCACAGTGTCTTATCATGTGTGCATTCACCAAAACGGGACAATCTCTGCTACTTGGTATTAATTTAAACACTGCATCCGAATCCTTACAGACGTAGCTTTATCACCATATGAAAGGAGACAATGCCCCTTTATATCTTGAACACTTCTACCTCCATCATGGTCCAAATACGCCGCCCAAAAGAATACTTTCCCATAAAGCATTGCGGCCAACATAATGCACCTCCCCTTAATGTATATATATATATATATATATATATATAGTGCGCCATCTACTGGGAAACGCGGGAAATGCAGGAAAAATAAAACAGTAACAAGGTTTATTATTGTAATTTATTCCAGTTCGCCGAACCTGAATAAATTACTTTAATTATACTATAAGTTCGGCGAACTTGAATAAATTATTGTAATTTATTCAGGTTCGCCGACCTTGAATAAATGACAATAATAAACCTTGTTAATGTTTTATTTTTCCTGCATTTCCGGCGTTTCCCAGTAGATGGCGCACTATTTATACATTGAGGGGCGGTGCATTATGTTGGCCGCAATGCTTTATGGGAAAGTATTCTTTCGGGCGGCGTATTTGGACCATAAGTCAGGTAGAAGTGTTTAAGATATAAAGCTGCACTGGTTCAACTTCTACTTACTCAAAAGAAAAGTCTGTATCCTATAAGATTCGGAATTTAAGTTCTGAACAGGGCAGCTCAATGAGAGCTTGGACATAGGAGTTCTAATCCTTAACACATGATTTGTGTTAAAGTGGGCAAACTTCTTGGCTCGCGGGCAATGTAAGGGTACTGCAGTTTGACTGAAGAACTGGACAGGATTTAACTTGTTAAGAGCTCAGATGCATTATATTCTCAAACACATAAATCTAAGACTTGAAATGTGTAGCACGTATTGATCTCTGCTGTGAAAGTTTCAGAACACATAAAAATCCATTAAAACCTGTTCCACTGCACACCACGAGTAAAAGTAAAAAGTATATCGTAAGTTCACCGTTTACAAATATGACTGGTAATACCTCATTAACAAAGCTCACGCCGATCAACCACAAACACATACCTACGAGTGTGACAATTCCTGACGCGGAAATGTTGTATACGTTAAAGATTATAACCCGGAGGACACAAGGTGTTTTTGTTTGATTTTTACCAACTCAAAAAGGAAGCAGTGCAGTCTTATATCTTAAGCACCAACTACTTCACTCATGGTCCGAATAACTCCTGTAAGAACACTTTCCCATAAAGCATTGCGGCCAACCTAATGCACCGCCCCTCAATGTATATATAGTGCGCCATCTACTGGGAAACGCTGGAAATGCATGACAAATAAAACATCAACAAGGTTTATTATTGTAATTTATTCCAGTTCGGCGGGCCGGATTAAAAGGTTTAAAGGGCCGCATACGGCCCCCGGGCCGTAGTTTGCCCACCCCTGGTCTAAGTCTAACTATCTCCATGGAAACAAGCAGGAGATGCCACCAGACCAAGATACTGGTCAAATCTGTGTAAAAGATGGCCTGCTGACTGTAGATGTGCAGGCTCTTAAAAAAAAACCCTGTAATTGAATAAATTGTAGGTGGATAAGTTTAATGCCAAACTGTGAAACATTCAGACAAGTAATACTGTCTAGATGGAGGCTTGCAGGTGGTGAACCCCCTACCCAAAAAATTACACAATGCATCTTTAAAGGAACTGAGTGTAACCTGGGCTCTTTTAGTTTTAAAGAGGAAGTGTTTTAACTCTCTTGGGTATTATCTGCTAACACATCACATATTTCGATCATCATGTTCCCTTTTATTGTTCTGAAAATGCTATATTTTCCAATAACAACGAATTAACAACGTTTTAGAATTTTCACTTTCATTTTTGACACCATTTCATTTTTGAGTCCCCCCTCCCCCTTTGCTCCCCATTACGCAAATGAAACCACTGCACATCGCGTCAGGTTTGTCAAGTTGTTTAGTATCATGTGTTTGTATTTTTATGAAGAATTGAATGACATAGGTTTGTGGGCGAAGCTTTGCACAGAATCTTACAGCTACAGTATCTTACAGGAATGTTTCAATACAGCCCAGGAGAGATTGCTAAATTACTCAAACATGCATGGATAACCTCTGTCACCTCTTCATGCATGTTTTTGATAAGGAAACAACATTAAAAAAGGGTAGAAAAGCTTAAAAAAGGTTCTACAATCACATCTGAACTTGCTGCAGAGGCACTGATTCAAGAGTCTGGTTTAAAATAAAAGGACTGTGGACTTCAGGTGTGTGTTAGCATGCTAGTTGTTGTTAGTTTTACAGTGACAGTAAAACTTTTTCTATTTTGTTAAGTCAGTGCATAAGGGTGTTTTGTGTAACTTTTTTGGTGGAGGATCCGTCAAACGTCTTTTTACATGGAGATGCATTAAACCTTTCTATCTTCATGGAGACCAAACCAGACCAAGTTACAGCTTTGATCTGTGGAGAGGCGATCCCACTCAAACTCTATTTTTCTAGTTATTTGAGCTACAAAACAACCTGTAATCAAATTAATGTATGGTAGAGCTCTTTAATGTCATACTGTGGAACATTCCAGGTAGAGCAATGATATATGCACAGAACCAAGCAGATGATGTACTCCCACCAAAAAGTTGCATAGTGCACCTTTATTTTGTATTGTGTCTACTCTGTGCAGAACTTTGGAGACTTTGTGTTGGTAAATGTTTTTTTTTTTACAAATAAAGTTGGATTGGAAAACTCTGCACCGGTTTTGAAAAGTGCTTATAAATTCATCACTGTGAGTAATTCGGTTGCTCTGAATGCATAACGTAAGTGAGGAATAACTTTGGACATTGAAAGTCTTTTAAAATGAACTCACTTGTTTTTAAGGTCAAAGCCATGTAAAAGCTATTGTCAGATAAATAATAAATAATGTTTGTTGTAGGTATTAATGTATTAAGATATTACACTTATATTACAGTGACAAAAATGCTTTGGGCAATAAATAAACATGATATAAATAAACATGAGCGATTCTTAACTCTGCAGTAGGGGGCGTCTGTCAGGAGCAGTGAGCAGTGGTCTGTGCGTCTCCTCGTCTTGAGCAATGTTGGCTCGTAGGATAAGACCATTGTATTATAGGTTGATAAGAGGAAACTAGAGCACCCAAAGGAAGGCCCCGGATAAAGTGAGAACATTCAGACTGAGAGAGGCCCCAGACTGTGAGCAGGTGACTCTGTGCTCAGTGGAACTCAGTTACCACAGACACAGTTTTCACAAACCACAGGATTGGTAATGTTGTTGTTCTCAGTGTGCACAGTCTCGTGGCTCTTTAATGTGTACATGTGCTCTATGTTGTTCACGGGCATAGGCCTTCTAAAAACTTTGTGCTTTCTTCTAATAAGACAAAGAGTAAAAAGCTAAATAGCTTATTTGACAGGTTTCATGGAAGAATGCACTACATTCTTATATAAAAAGAGGATGAAATGAATTTTCTAAATATATGCAAAGGTCGACTGAAGTAGATGTAGGTGTCTGTGACTGAGCAAAGATTCTTTTAATGCCCAAGTTATCAAAACTGCTGTTGAATGAAATATTAGCTAATGCTAGAAGTCTGTACCAAGAAAAAGGATTATTTTATTTTATCTCATCTTAGAATCTGAAATATTCTTTGATCTGTTCGACCCATTTAAATTCTTTTGTGCATCTACTATTATCTGAATGGACGTCAGTAGTAAAGACTCCCCTTCACCTGCACAGTGAG